TTAGTTTCGAGGCCTCCGTCGCAGGACATTGAGAGGCTTGTGTCCGGTTCAGATAGAACAAATTTACTCGGACAGGATCCTCCCTCAGAACGTGCACTTCCTGGGTCCCGTGGCAATAGCCGTAGAGTTTCTACAGAGTCTACTCCTGGTCTTTTGAGGCAGATTTCGCAACCGTCTGGTCCTTTGCAGAGCGTGACACTGCGAGAGGCATCAAGAGACCTTCCGATGTTGCTGTTGGAGAATTGGGTCCCTCGTCGTCTTCGGTGGCCAAATCTATGACAGATCCCAATTCTTCAACGGGTTCCAAGCCTTCCCAGGGTAAGCTTGAGTCCGAGGCTCTTTTATTGTTTTGTCAGGCTGCGGCGAGCAGTACCGAGTTTTTCCCAAGGAGTGTCCACGGTGTGGCAGTGTCCACTCGGTGTCGAACCCGCTGGATGTTGTCTCATGGCTCGACGAGGTGAAGGAGAGGGAGGCCTTTGACCAGATCGTGGGAGTCCCGCTTCGCCGGGATGAGTTTGTGCCTCCTGACGAGAAGACCAACGAGATTGACTACTACCAGACACCTCCGTCTACGCTCCTCTCTACAACCACGATTTCGAGGCCAGGTATGCACCGCCTGGATGTTCTTCGACGTCACGGTCGAGGCGGCCACCTTCGACACGGATGGGACGGATCACCGTCCGAGGTGCAGCTTTTTCACAGTGATGCTTTCCTCACTGCTGCGCATTTGGCTGGAGCTGACCAACCGGAAACACCGGAACTGCAGGTACAAGATCATCAGGCCCTGCTCTCCAGCTCTAGGCCCACTTCCTCTACTACTTCTCTTTCGGAAGGCCTGGCCAAGATCCTGCTGAAACGCAAGGACTTCGACCACGACTCGTGCCACCAACTCTTGGAGGTGGTCAAGCTCCGAAAACCCGGCCGACAGTGTCTTTCGTCGAACCGGGCACGCTCCGGGACTTTGACTCTCGGCTACTACAGCCACGGCAAGCAGCTCGGATTCACCAACGACACCATGCACCACAAGCACCTGGCTAGGTACCTTGGGCGATATCTTCGACACCACGGTATGAAGGGCGACATCAGCAGCCTCTTCATTGCGTGCAACGTCCACAGCCTCTACCACCAAGATCGTCACAACTCCAAGGGAAGTATCAATTGGCAGACTCCCACGGTGACTACTTGGGAGGCGACTTATGGGTTGAAGCCGAGGCGCACGATTGTAAGTACCATCTCATGCAAGAGCGAAGGGTGCATGGTCGGCGTAAACTTGGCTACTTGCTGGATACCCGCCGACGACTCCAGTCCTTCTATCCGCACCTCTACCACGGCTCCGACGACTTCACCGGCAACCGCTTCGTCATCACGGCGTATCAGACCCGTCTTGTCGACAAGGCCCCTGAGGAGCATCTGAGTATCCTCCGGGAGATGGGTTTTCGTTCGAAAAGGACGGCGGCTTCTGCCGATGTGCTGAACACCGATGCCGCTGCAAAAGCGCCGGAGGAGACGTTTCGGGAGTATGTCACCGTGCTCGAGGCCTATCCGGTGAAGGAGCAGTCCAGCTCGGCGGGCGACACAGAGCGTGTAGTCGCTCTGGAATCCTCCAGCGAGGAGGAAGGTCACGACGGGTCGTTTGAGACAAGACGAGCCGAGCTCCAAGCCCGGAAGAAGGAAATTCACTGGCGAAGCTTGACCGAAGAAGAAGTTCCCTGCTTTGTGGAGGCGGTGCAGAAGGAATGGTCCGAGTGGCAGAGATGGTCATCATGCAAGGCTGTTCAAGTGCGAGAAGGCGAGGTACCCTCGCACCTCATCCTGAAGTCTCGTCTGTGCTATCGCTGGAAGCCGGTGCCCGAGGGACAACGCGCAAAAGCGCGGATAGTTATAGCTGGCTTTCGAGACCCCCACCTGGCCATTCTGACACGTGATGCACCGGTTCTGGCACGCACCTCCTTTCACCTGATTCTCCAGTGGTCCTGCTGTTTCCGCGTAAACTTTGGAACGCGGATGCCAAATCGGCGTTTCTTCAAGGGGAACCTGATACGGAGCGTCCTGAGCAAATCTTCATGCGCGCTCCAGCCGACCCCATTGCTCTTCAAGCGAATCCGGAGTGGCGCTGCAAGACCTTGCTCTACAAGCTGTCCGCGCCGGTCTATGGGCAGAGCAACGCTCCGAGAAGATGGTACGATCACTTCTCCAAGGTGATGCGGAAACTGGGTTGGACACAGCACAGTTTGGACCCGTGCTTGTTCCTTTGGCGAGTTGGTTCACAAATTGGAGCAGTGCTGGGGCTACATGTCGATGATCTGATTGCGGCAGCCCTTACCGAGTATGAGGAGGTGCTGAACAAGGTTGAGGCTAGCTTCACCTGGGGTTCGCCATGGGTTTCGGAGGAGTTCACCTTCATTGGCCGAAAGGTGAAACAACACCCCGATGGCTCGGTGACGATCGACCAATCCACCTACGTCGGAGACATCCCCACTACGAAAGTAAAGCTGCCGGAGGACACCTTGCTTAGCCTGCACCCCTCCTTGGTGACAGAGTTTAGGTCAGGCATTGGCTCCTTGCAATGGTTGTCAAGTACGACTCGAGGAGACGTGGCGGCGGATGTGTCCCTTATTCAGAAGCCCCCGAAAGATGGCAGATCTTCGGGAAGTGAACAGCGTCCTCCGCTACGTCAAGGCGACCCCGGAGGCCATGGTCCGCATCGTCCACGTGCCGCTCGAGTCCCTTATCTTCGTAGCCTACGGCGACAGTGGCTTCGCGAATGCGCCGAACAACAAGAGCCAGGGCGGACTGGTGATTGTGGCGACCGACCGCTGTGCTCTCCGTGAACCGTGCGAAGCGTCGTTGCTGGAGTGGAAGAGCTACCGGCACCAACGGGTGCTGCGCAGCACTCTGGCTGCGGAAGCCTCGGCCCTGGATCGTTCCCACGATCATGCGAGGTTCATGGCCATGGTCTTCTCGGAGATGGTCTATGGCGACTACATTGCTACCGTGAACGAGAGGGCCAAGCATGAGGTCGTTCCCGTGACGGACGCTCGCAGTTTATGGGATGCCGTGCACAGGCTTTCTACGAGCTTCACGGAGAAGCGTGTCGAGATCGACGTGGCTGCTCTTCGTCAGACATGCCAGGGCTTGAGATGGGTGCCGACTGAGCAGATGCACGCCGATTGTATGACAAAGAGGTCGCGAAGCCTACGAGATGATTTTAGACAATGGATGGCCCAACCGATGGTCACGTTAGTCGACAGCAAGTCCTCAAAGGATGTTGCAGTAGGCTCCGAAGCTAACGTCGCATGGCGGAAGGACTGAGCTTAAGGCCTCTTAAAATAAGACTGGTGCTAAACCGAAGGTTTGTGTTGCGCTGGTACGGCCATGAAGCTCGTCCTGTCGCGCCGTGCAAAGGCTTACAGCAGGGAAGGGCATGCGCATGAGACGAAAAAGCCTGAGCCTTCAGGAGCGCACAGGGGTCTACACGTTAGGTCCAGGCTCCGTGCTACAGCAGTTTTATTGCAAAAGCAACGCTTTAGCTCGCAGGGGAGACTTCACGGAGCGACCACTGCTGCTGCTGCTGCTGCTGCCGCGGCTGCTGCTGCTGCTGCTGCTGCACGTTTCTAGCGACTGCTGTGACGAGGATCGCTGGGATGCCCAGTCGCGCTCTGACTCCCAACTCAATCAGTGCTTCCACACTCTTGAGCGGCCTGGCTCCAGATTCGGAAGAAAGTGATCCTGACAGCCGCAGTTGCTATTCCTCCGAAAGCGGTATCTTACCTTGACTGCCTCCGTTGCGGAAGCTGCTTGACAGGCTGCAGCGCACACTTGGGATCAGCAAAGCTCGTTTTTTGGTGACTGGTGGTCAGGTGCTTGTGAGAAGAGCCGCTTCTGGCGCCGCGCGCTGCATCTCCGCTT